CACACACACACACACACACACACACACACACACACACACACACACACACACACACACACACACACCATTCTGACTCCCCTCCTCCTCTCCTCCTCCAGTTTGGCTGCCCCCGACTCTGCTCCCGACACACATACACCCCACCCATCCTCCATCTCCTCACATCCATTTGCAAATGATATGGCTTGTCTGCATATTGTCAGATGCAGCCGGCCCGGTCATTCATCACCTGTAGGCGACTCCCAGCGTCCTCCACACTTAATTGTTCCCTCTCTGACCTGGAGAGTAGAGAATGATGTTTCCTCTCCCTGAGAAGAGATTGAGAAGGAAAGAAAGAAAGAAAGAAATACCTGGCTATTACATTTAAATCAGATGGATAGGGAAACAATGCTGGTCTCTCTTTTCTCTTTCCATTTCTGTGATTCCCTCTTTTTTCTCTCCATCTTTTCTGTGTTTCTAGGTCAGATTACAAGCAGAGAGAAGAAGAAAGGAAAGGACAACGAAAGGATACAAGTCGAAGAGAGGAGGAAAGACATGAAATCCAGTTTCATGACTCATAAAAGCCTGAGAGCCGGTGTGTGGGTGGGGGATGGGGGGCATTTAGGCAGACCACATTCATACACACACACACACACTCACAGGATTTATACTCCCTTATCAGCATGCCATTTGCATCTGGGTTGAGCATGTGTGTCCATTTGTCTTTCTTCTCTCCATCTTCCAATGTGATCAAAATCAAATTTGGAAGTGAGTCATTTCCCTAAATGTCAGTATTGTGGCGGTGACACTTTACAGTCTTTGCACATGCTTATATGCATAATGGCACTAAAAATCTAAAAGAAAATTGAAATCTTCTCTAAACTTAAACAACCCAAGATGAAATCCCTTTGAAGGCGTCTACTGGGTTCAGTGTGACCTCTGACCCTACACAGCCACTCTGCTGCCGTGCTCCCTGTGCATTAGGCAGCATCCATTATACATGCAGCAGTTCCACTGTTGCAAAATACTGGTTGCAGTCGGCTAAAGGGTGATTAAAAATGAAATGGTGCCTGCGGAGGTGGAAGCGCAGATTCAGCCTGGTTTAGGAGCTGGGACGAGTTGTTCACGAGTGTTATTGAACTACTGTACCAGCCTTTGAAATCCACCAGGAGGCTGCTCCTCACCTCTTGAAAGGGCTGGTTTTCAATTAGGATTTAGGTGTAAGATTTAGATTACATTTTGCAAAAAGGTTTCAGCAAAGGCAGGATTAGGGTCGGGGGTTTAGGACTAAATGATATCAAGCCGAGCCTTCAAGATTAAAGATGGTTCGGGGTGAGGGTTCAGATGTCAATTAGGTGGAAAGGTTTAGGATTAAATGAGTTCAAAATGATGATTAGAAACAGAGCAAAATTTAAAGATACCTTGCCTGTAAAGAAACAAAGTTCTGGTTACGTAAAGCAAACTGCAAAAAATGTTGAGTGGCCAGTTATGGCTGCATGCTTAAGGACCTCTTGTCTTTTCGCAAAACGTTCATTCTTTACACATGACATCTATCACACTTCTGTCCATCCTGATAGAGGGAATTTTAGGCATTTTGAATGTCATCTTTCGCTGCTTTTCATGTTATCACAGATAATAGTTAATCATCAAACATCTCTGTCTTTCCCCAGCAACCTTGCTTTACCTGTGAGTGCTGCTGCTGGTGTACATTTATTTTGTTTAAATGTTAAAACCATCGCACTCGCATGACAAGTTGTTCAGGGAGAAGAAGGCCGTGCTCCTCCCCCTCCTCCAGTCTTCTTCATCTTTATTCACTCCGTCTTCTCTGCCAGTCATCCTTTGTCCCCTCATTCCTCGTTTCCTTTGTGATGAAGACCTCTCACGCCAGACCAGAAACACCACAAGCTCTCTCACATCCACCCACCTCTTTAATAATAAATGGATACTTCCATTATGAGCTGCTTAGGGAGTTGGAACATAGTCAGTCATGCTATGGAGGATGGGGGACAGCTAGGGGATGGGGAAGTCAAGCTGACGTGATGGTGCCACCAGATTTATAAAATGCAGATACCTTTTATGAAAGTTTTAGCAAGTTAAGTAAACCGTGAGAATATTGGTGAGATTGGTGAATTTGGGTGTCTAAGAAAAGGTCAGGCAGCTTTGAACTGAAGCGCTGAATATGACCAGAACAGCATCACCTGTATCGTTTTCCATGTCCAATGCGAGAGTCCAAGAACAGAGGATGTCGTAACATGTCTTCTTTCTTCTGGCTGTGAGACTTCTTAACTCATCCTCCATATATAATAGTTTTTTTTGTGTATTTTTCTCATGCAGGAAAATTGAGACTATAATCTGAAGTTTGTTGTGCAACCACTGTTGTATAATGACAAATAACTTTGTAACCCTGTACAGATTGTAGAGCCCTCTCAAGATAATTTGTGATATTGGGCTTTACAAATTAATATAATTGATTGATGCTCTGTGTAAATATGTATACATGTGCTGGATTCAGTCGTTGCTAACGTTATTTCTCCAGCTATTAAAATAGCATTAGTGCCTCTGAAAGAACAGGAGGGCTTAAAAGACAGAAGAAGCATCTGTACATGCTGATGAGACACAAAGCTGCTCTGATTCCGTCTGTGCGCATGTAGAAGGACCTTCACGTATAGCTGTCTTCATTCGCTAGGCTCCTTACGTGCTTGCTAATAACCGATATGAAGTTTCCAAGATTGACAGGTTTGTGTTCAGAACATAGACTAACATCTCTTGACTTGATTCTTGAAATATATACCATATACTCTTAAAAAAGGTGTCTTTTCTAAAAGTCTGATTTTCTCATAATATTAAAAGAAAACAATGAAATATTGTGAGGAAATAGTCACAATATTCTGACCGTTTGTCTCTAAATATGACTATTTTGTCATGTTAATTATTTTGTAGCAAGGTTATGTATTTTTCTCAAAACACACTATAAGACTTCTTTTATAATATGACACTGAAAATCTTTTTTCCTCAAAATATTTGGAGAAAACAGTGGCTCAAAAACCTGATCTTAAACATATTAAACATAATTGCTTAAAAATACATGTGACTAATCAAAGTGGCCTTTGCAACGTACTAGAATAAGTAACCTAAACAATAAGCATTGGTCTTAAAGCAGTTAACGAGCAGAAAGCAAGATAATAACGCATCCGTCTATCACCTTCAATCTCACGCTCCCTCTCTTAAAGCGTAAGAGCTCTACGCTGACCCCTCCACCGCCCAGCATCACCAGCGTGACACCGGTAAACACTTTGGTGCCGTCCCACAATGAGACGGGCCGCTGACATTGTATATTAATATGGATGGCAGTTTATAATTCATTGGGCGGGATTACTTGGGAGTGCTGGTCCCAGGCCTGCTCCCAGCACTGACGCAGCGAGTACTAACAATACTGGACATTCCTCGCTCTCCACTGCCCACCCCAATGCCCATTATTATAATATATTCAAGGATTAAAGGGGTTTTATCTTAGAGAGCCATGCATTATGAATGGAGCATTTCAAAATTTAATTGCCCCGAATTAAATGATTCAAGATAATGTTTCTTTTATAAATTGGTAATAGGGCCATGGGGCAAAAGAAGTGGAAAATACATTAAATAAACCTTTTTTTTTTTCACCGCAACAAAGGGAGAAAGGAAGGCCGATGACCTTGTGTCTGTAGGAGGATATGGCTCGGTTTAAAAACAACATTAAACACAAGAGGAGAGAAGTGAGATGAAGTTTAATCTCCGAAAGCTTCAGCTTTACTGTAGACTCTGGATCTTTTTACGCTTACAGAAACCCACAGCTACTGCACACAGTGAAATGGTGACGAGTCCGGTTAAGGTTAGAACAATACACCTGCACAGGACTTGTTGAGTCTATGGTTAAGCTATGGAGCTGGGTACACACATACTCTTACATACTCACACACACAAGCAAGCAAGCACACACACAGTAGTGCAGATGTTTTTAGAAAAGCAAGGAGCAGACTTCGTGATTCTAATAAGGTTGTTAAAAGAACATGATTGCATAAAAAATACAGATCTGTGATGGAAAAGTGCTCGAGCCACAGAAAGACGAGTGACACCTCAAACGTGATACAAAACCAGAGCATGGTGTAGTACAAAGTGGTCATAAACAGCTGACCGAAGGTGAACCGACCCTTTAGCTTTGGTCATATCGATGCATACCACTTGAAGGGAACACTGTGGCAGTGATCATCTCCCACCACCATCAAGCCTTCACAACTTTACGGGTCCACTAGGAGTGACAGGAAAGTCACATTTCAGGTGGTCCGGTCAAGATCACCAGGCCAGAGTCAGGGTTCACGGACAGTCACAGTAGATCAGGTACAAAGAGACACAATGTTTTTTGAAGTTTAGAACTACACAGTGAGGTGAGACAGTAGTCTGGGTTTATCCATTGCACTAGCATCTTAAAATAACCTACTAACAATGAGTCATTCAGTTGAATTCGATTCCATTTATGAACAGTAGTGCATGGTTCACTCTGATCAGACCATTTTAAACAGCATACTAGACTACAGAAAGTTAAATTTAGAAACACCAAGCAATGAGACAAAAAAAATCTTAATTCTATAGTTCTAGTATAATTTCCTTCTAACCTTCGCTGAAATATTTCTACTCTGTATTCACCCGAGGGTATTAAAGCTCATTCCTGACTTTTGAAACAGTATTTTGTCAAGATAATCTGAACTAAAAGGTACACTTACTTGTGTTTTCAGGGGCTTTCAACCACATATTTTTGGCTCAGTTTCCGTAGGGTTGGTTTAGTTGTCATGTGACCAACAGTAAAATACAGCACTTTGATCACATGATAGGTGGTTGCATATACTGTAGCTGGAGAAGGTAACATCTCTAGTCTCTGATGTGAATGTCCTCCTTGATCTTTCTCCAGACAACCACTGACTGACCCTGACTGAGAAGCGAACTGGGAAGAGGTCAAAGTCAAGGAGTCAGTGGACGCCTGGAGAAAGACTGAGGACATCCAAGGCGACACAAAGGCCTGCCAGAGTGAGGAAAATGTTTACAGCGTGCCATGCTGCTATGTTGCCATGCTGCTATGTTGCGTTGCTCTGTGTACGCTGGAGCAAATGCAAAAAGTGCAATGATTCAACTAAATGCGAGTTGACACGAGGTCTTTTCGACGGATGATTGGAATCATCCACGTTTAGGGGGCAGCCCTACATACAACCACTCACTTATCACCTGACCTAAGCTATGTGAGGACACCTTAACCAACAACTAGATGTTCATCTAGACTGAAATGTGGTCAAAAGCTCCTCAAAACTAGTGGGTGGACCTTGACTCGAGAATATTTTGTCAATCCATATCACTCATGTATTGCCATTCAGCTACATACAGTCACACTATAAACAAACCTGTGTCTCTGCATAACTGCAGTAGAGCAAAGTAATGGGCGAGTTAATGGACAATTCAGGTTATGATGTTTGAATTTAACTTTACTGATTCAAAACCAGGTTAGTGGGTTTAACTGGAAGAACCCACAACCTTCTACAATAAGGCTGATAGAACTGATGGCCAGATGTTTCCCTCCTAGATGTATTGACTGTCAGTTAAAACTAACTACAGAGAGGAAGAACCTACCGACACTGCTTCCGTATTTTTCCTACAAAAAGTGTCGTGTTGAAATTCAGCGGAACGAAAAACTTCCAACAGGAGAACTCACAAAAACTGTCCTCGTCTTCTGTCTCACTGCGTCCTCAGCGGAGCATATGGCTGTTCTCAGTGATCACTGGGTCACTCGTCACTCTCTTTGGGCGACATCCGCAAATAATCCCTGCAACGTAAACTGGGTACATTTCATAAATATACTTCTTGAAAACACACAGTAAAACATTCCATGTTTCTTAATGAGGGCTGCAACTAAGTAATGATGGAAAATGTACAATTTAAATGGTAAAAAGTAACAAAACCCCATCTTCTATTTTGGCCTGTCATTCCAAACCATAAGAGTCACCATCAACTGAAAACAAGTGTTCTCATTAAAACTGATCATTTTATGTTTAGCTTGAAACGATTTCATCCAGAAGAAAAGGGAGTAGAGGGCAGTGATGGTCTTAACTGAGCAGCACACCCCAAAATGAATATCGGATTGTCAACTCAAAGCATACGGGACACATATGGAGACAAACTGCAGTAATAAAGCAACCAATTCACAAGATAAGAGACATTTTGGCTTTGTGGAGATAACATTCACCTAACTCCATTTAGTTTTTTTTTCTCTTCCCCTAACAATTAGCTGGAACCAGTTTTGGCCCCCGCCCCCCCTCACTTTCTTACTATTCTGTAGGCTTCCAGCTGTTCTAATGTAAAGTTTCAAATGTTAAAAAAAAAAATAAATAAATAAAAAAAAGAGAGGCTAGTTCGCAGCACAGAAGGCTGAGGGACACACTGGCAGCAGCGGGAAACTAAGAAAAGACACGCTGGATGAACGTATAGTCAGAAAACTTCTGTGACTTCAAATTCTATTTTTTCAGCTTTTCTATTTCTGAGTCATTTAACAGACACAAAAATAAATAAATAGCATGGTCAATGGGCATTAAGTGAAATCTATTTATTCACTGTTCTCTTTGGGATCATCTTCAGTTCGACTGTCACTTAGGTTGGCCTCTTCCCTTTGGCCTCTCTGGGTTGAACTTCTAATCGAGTCCAAAGTTGAATAAACTTCTTTTCTGACCTTCTCCTGACTCTCCTCCTGTACTGGCTCTCCATTAGCCTCCATCTCCATACCATACACATCCTTCTCCCCATTGAGGAGGTGACTGTGCTCCTCCCGGCCTTCTTCAACCTCCTCAAGCTGGCGTAGGATGATTGGAAGCTTTGCATCAGCGTCAGTATTCTCCAGCAAAGCGATATCGCTTTCCTCGTACCGAGGCAAGGGAGCGCCCTCCTCCAGCTTCTTCTCAAAATGCAGACGTTTGGCACGTCCGCTGTCTGACGCCTTCTCCAGGATCTGCTTCTCGGCCAGGCGGAGCTGGATTGCCACTCGAGCATGGAGAGATAGATCAGGTTTCTCCAGCATGGAGCAGTCCTCCTAAAAGAGACCAGGCCGTTTTTAATATTAAGAAGATGGTCATAAGAAGGTAAAAAATAACAAATTCAACTTTACACATTCACTGAGCGCTCGTCAGATCTTCAGAACACTCCCAACACCTTTTTGACTTCAGAATTGGGGTAGCCGCATCCTTCAATTTTTGTGACCTTCCGGAATCTTCAATCCAACAATCATGTGCTTGATTGTGGCCATCGAACCTTCATATGATCCAGGTTGTTTGAACCATACTGAGCCCTTTAAACCTTAAACCTAACTCAAAATCCAGCCAACTGACCTGTGAGGTGGTCTTGTAGGTCTTGAGCAGCAGAGCAGCTCTGGTCTCAAGGAAAGTCCACAACTTGATCTCATTCTCCCAGCTGACCGGGAACTCGCTGTTGCCCAGAGTAAAGATCTTATTGACTGCACGATCTCCGAGCAGGTAGTCCTTCAGTTCCTCTGAAATCAAAACAAATTAAATAAACACACACCTGAAAGTCGTAAGAGAAGTGTACTGAAGGCGACTTTGAGGTTATTGGTTCGTAAAACTTGGACCTACAGAAAGGCAGCTGGTTACTTCTTTGCATATTAAAAAAAAAAAAAACACAAACATTTTAGAGGCAGGCTTTGCTGTCAGAGTAGAGGTCTTCATGGCTCCAAGATTTTGGAGCTTATCACAAACAGACCAATGAAAAATTCACCTTTACAGACCCGATCTGAAATGGTCCTGATGACACTCAGAATCGGTCTGAAATAAGACCTGATCCAATTCTGAACAGATCCAATAAGAGAGACAACACCAACATTGGCAGAAGATGATACTTCCAATGAATTGTAAGCTAGCAACTAAGGGTTTGGTGAACAGTTAAACTACAAAGACAAGGCCTTTGTGATGCTTCTAGTAATACAGCATGTATAAAATAGTGTTGGCGTTGTTGGCAAGGCAACTTTTACACTTTTCAAAAGAGATATTAGCTACTAGTTCCTCTTCCATAAGATTTCCATAAGTAACGCGACACGTCTGAGTATCGTCTCTAGGACAAGGATCGGATGGCTGGTTCCATTTACTGCTTGAGCTAAAGCAACAATCCTATAATGGCTCAAATGAAACATGTAGCTGTTTGTTTAATGTGCTCTCTGTAGAGTAACTACAGGGAACTTTTAACTGGTTATGAAACAGTCTCAATTTATCACAGACACCTCTATATGACCTACATAAGTAAGCGAGACATCAGAGACGATCGGCTATTTCTATAGTCTTAAAGCCTGTCCCCCGGTCTGATTTCCCACATCAGACTAAACCATTTACAGCACGCAGAGGAGCCAATGTTTACATTTTCACAGATTGTTTTTGAGATAATTTTTGAAAAAGTTGTGGCTGAACTGGGGCAGGATCAGCAAAGACAAAAGGAAAAAGAAGCTAAAAGGAAACGGGAGTTAAACTCGGTTGGTTCTTCAACAGATGGAGAGAATAAATGTAAACTTGGCTTCGTTACATGTGAAGGTGAAAGAGGCAAATGACAGCTCCCTGCTTGTGTGTGTACATTATTCCATCATGTCACATCTGTTAAGAAATGTCAACACACAAGCAAGCAAAAGATGATATCTCTCCCCCCCATGCACACACATCCAAAGATGAGCCGGTTTAAAAATTAACATGCAGCAAAAAATGTGAATAATATATCAAGCGGGTCCTGAAGATGAGCCCCGTGACAGAGGAGGATGTGGCCTTGTGTGGTTGGGATTTATGACGCCGGTGCCATTCTGCATACATGCCGATGAATATTGTAAATCCCCTGGTGGATTGCTCCCTCCACACATCTGGTGGCCTGCCTTGATCAATTAACAAGCACAGGAATGGACAGGCCTTGCTCTTTCCCTCTCTCCCTCCCTTCTATCTCCACCGTCGCTCCACCTCTTCTCCTCTGCTGATGTGCGGAGGAAGCAGTCGCTCGACAACAGTCTCCGAGGAGCATCGGAAACTGAGGCGTGTTTTGTTTTAGAGTGGACTGCCATGTTTGTGGCTTTGAGTGTGTGTGTGTGTGTGTGTGTGTGTGTGTGTGTGTGTGTGTGCGTGTGTGTGCGCATCTGTCAGTGTCTTACCCTCTGTCATGCAGAAGACTCTGAGGAAGGCTAGGAGCTGGGCTGAAATGGGGGGTTCATTACAGTGCAGAGCAAAGATACAGGACCTGAAAGCAAAACATACAAACCAACATTTTAACAAGAAATCAATATATATATATCCAAGAATCAAAAAGACAATATGTGACTTGTTTACATATAACACATGTAGGATATGTTATAAGAGACTACTCCTCTAGCACAATAAGCAGAATGTTATAAATGTTCGGAACTGACAGCAGCAAAACAACTGCAGCGAGAACTTAACGGATTGATATCAATCAGCTGGAGTCAGGGCGGGGTTAGCCTAGCTTAGCTTAAAGACTGGGCACAGTAGGAAACAGAGAGCTTGGCTCAGCAGTGATGCAGAATGCAGCTTCCAATAGTCCTGGTGTCATATTGACGTTGCCATGTTTGGTATCAAACTAGTTCTGACCTGAAAGTACTTCTTCATAAGAAGAAGAAGAAGAAGAAGAAGAAGAACATAGAAGACTGAGGAATATCGAGCATGACCTGAGGGTAAAGCTGAGGGAATGGAAGGACTCCTACAGGAGGCTGACCTCCAGCAGAACACCACAAGGGATGTGTAGACTGGAACAAAGGTTCATGGTAAGAGACAGACAGCCAGTGGGGAAGACTTTGGAAGGAAGAGGTCAACTTCACAACCCCTGTGTATTCTCGGAAAGTACGTTGATGTTGTACATGTACGTACATGGGTGTCTACATCGCCAACAGACTGAACTGGAAGACCAATACTGAGGCTGTATATAGGAAGGGGATGAGCAGAGTGAGATCCTTCAACATTGGAGCTGGTGACGACAACAGACTTAATAAACTGATTAAGAAATCTGGCTCTGGAAGTCTGTCCAAACCAGACACCTTTGAGGTTGTGGTGGAGAGGACGACACTGAACAAACGGTCATCCATTATTGATAATCATGACAACCACCAAGTGGATCAAGTCTCTAACAGACTTGATTCAGCTGTGCTGTGACAAGGACTGATACAGGACATCTTTCCTGTCCAAAGCAAAACCCTCTACCGCTCACTTCTGTCTGACAGAGAACTCACAGTGTTATAGTTTCTTTCTCAACCATTATACTCGACCCTCTTTAGTTCCTTAAGTAACCTTGCACATGAGACAAATGCACATCTTCATACTCTCACTCTACCTCATTTAATTCCTCTTAAAAACTGCAACTAATTTGAACACTTGTATGTCAATTTATATGTCATCCTACATTTATATTTCTACTTTAGTTGTAGTTTATTATTTATATATTTATGCTGTATTCTAATATAGTCTTTATATTGTGTATTCTATATAGATACATATCTCTAGTGTTGATATAGTATGTACTGTATAGTATAGTACAGTACATCTATCTATTTATCTAATACCTGTGTTTATCCACTGATTCAGGCAATCTGAGTGCTGGACGGAATAATAAACTGCCACCATTAAATACTACCACAATGCAACTCCCCTTTAAATTACAAGCCGTTTTTGAAATATTTAAACTAACAAGACAACATACGTCATGTTCATTGGAGCTGTTGGCATGCCTACTTTTATCAGATCAGCTGTTCACCCCAGCGTACACTCTTTATGCTTAACTAAGCTAAATCTCAGCATGAGATTGAAATCGTCATCCTCAAGAAAATATAAATTAGCGTATTTCTCAAAATGGTGAACTGTTTCTTTACAAGGATGCAAAAAACAAATACTATACAACAAGAAGTGTATTGTTCAAGATATTCCCTCAAACAAAACCATCATTTTGAGTTTGTGTAGTTGGTTTGTCTCTTACTTTGGGGTACAGGGAACTTTAAAAAAAAAAAAGAGCAAATTACAAATTGGAAAATAAATAGTCAAATATGCTTACTAAATTACTTTTCTCAAACAGAAATGAAGTAGGAGTAGAAGAGTGATTTCCACGTAGTGAAAAGAGTCGGACAACTGCAGCCGTTCAACATCTCAGCGAAGCCCGACACTGACTCGGTTGCCATTTCCTTTGAAAATGATCTATGAGCATATCTGTCAGTTTAATAGAGCATCGCGGCAACAACAGGGATTGTTTCATTTAATTTCCACTGTTAAGATTTAGACTGTCATCAATAAGAGATTAAAAGGCGTCTGATTAAAATTGCAGGGAAGAGAATGCTGCATACAATTAAGGGGCTAATGATAAAATGATTAAGCTTCTTGGTGATTAAAGTGTTGGGGCGGATGACAAATTCATACTTGGTGGTGTGGGGAGGAAAAAAAAAAAGAGAAAAGAAATCTGCTGCAACATTTATATTATGCGTTTCAATTACGCCAAAAGGGGGGGCCTACTGTTGATCTACTGTTGGAAGACAGAAGTACTCCCCGGCTATATGAAGGGTGCATGGAGTTAGTCATGACCCTGAAGCTCTCCTTGACCTATATTAACAGCTGAGTTTACAGATTAATTCACTTCTGAGAGCAGACACTGTTAGCAAGAAAAGAGGAGGACTGTTTGTCGTGGACCCCCTTGTGAGAAGAAGAGTTGGACATACGCTGGGATGCCGGCTCGTGCCAGCACTTCGGCCTTCATGGCGTAGAGGCGCTCGCTCTTGCTGACGCCCAGCTTGATCTTCACTCTGTCGTGGGCGTTGTCTTGGAAGAAGAAGCCGTTGTGGATGACGAACTCGGCGTTGGATCGTGTGCCGTAGAAGATGTAAATCTACAGGAAGAATAAATCCTCAGCATCAACAACATTATCATCACCTGTCCTGATGGCAGTTTCTTTTTAAGAGCTATTAATACACAGCATATGAAATGCATCACTTCAGGACAATTATCAAACTACACTGCTCTCTCTAAAAACAGATGCAGTATGAAAAGACACGCCGAGGTGGAAATATGTTCAGTGCATGTCTCAATGGTTTTTTGTCCGTGTTAATGACACATCGTAAGGCTCCTTGTCAAAATATGTGAAGTAAAAAAAGAAAAGACAGAAAATGATATTACATTTTGTCACTCCTACTATTTTGGGGTCGAGAGAGAGAATGCGAGTGTGACGGTGAGTATGACATAAACAATGTTATCGCTGTGAATGTTGTCGTGCAGTATATGTGTTTGGGCTGTTCTCCTCAAAAATCCAAGCCAAGGTCTTGAGTTTGCTGATTAAAGTGAAGGCGACAACTTCGACCCAGGCTCTCTTAAGGTTGACGGACCTTTAAACAACACTAAAATGATCATTTTCACCTCCGTCTCTCCTTCTTTTACTTTGCTGCCAACATCAACAGCAGTTGAGACAATAAAGACCCAAGTATGAGTAGTAACAGTATCACAACCTGCTCGTTCTCCTTGTAGTCCTGCAGTGCCACACATTCACAGCGATCATCCTCCAGGTTGTAGCCGGTGGTGATCTGCAGGTCAGCAACAACTTTTACAACGCTCAATAAATACGTTTTGATGTGAATCAAAACAACAATAGTGTATGCAAGTACATGCGAGTGTGTGGTAAAGTCTTTACCAGTCCATTTGTGTGGTTACACATGTCCCAGAGGGGGATCAGGGCCAGAATGATCCGGCCGCCGTCCTCGGTTGGGATCTGGTTCTGGCGGGTCATCACGGAGGACACTGCCCACCTGTCACATACAATCAACCAATCCCTGCTCGTTACATTTACCCCACTGACTTCCCAACCCATCTCACAGAAATATGTGAACTGACCTTGACCTGTTAACATGGTGGTGCATCATGTGGTGGTGGCATTTAACGTGATAAAACGACGAGTCGGCACCTCTGAAACAATGCAAAATGGGATAGGACGTACTCAGGACTTTAGACCACGAGACCTTAGTTTGTCTCCCAAAGTGTTGTTAAGTTATTGTGAAGTTACGTTTGTGACGCGTTTGTGATATTGATGACAATAGCGGTCTGCAAAGAGCTCAAATGATATTAATAGACATTACCCACCCCAGCCACAGCCCGTCCACCCTGCTGCCTTCTGGGAAGAGATGCAGAAGTATCAGCTGACGTACCAACATATAATATACATTTGGGTTTTTTTCTTGTGTAGCCAAATGAGACTACAAACTGCACTTTGTTGAGCAGCCCTATTGTACTCGGAGAATAAATAACAGTAACCTTAAACCTAACTATGTGGTTCTGTTGCCTAAATCTAACGTTGAATTGTTTCCGTGGTGCCAAGATGTAATTCTAACAGATTAGGTGCCACCACCACGTAATTCACTGTTAACATTCACAGGTCGTGGTCATTTCACGGATTTATGTGAGATCACGTTGGACAATCTGGACAGCAGGTCTTGCTTCATTAAGGAGCAGGAAGTTCATCGACTCTAACATTGGTATTGCCAAACAGAGAGAAGCCTTGCATCAGATGAAGAGAGAAGGAAGGAAGGAGAGGGGGGGGGGGGGGGGGGGGGGGG